GACTTAATACCAACCCTAACTATCTTACTCTGACCCGCCTTTAAACCTAACCTTAACCATATTAATTACAAGCAATACAATTATTCTGTTATAGCCCTAGGTCACAACAGAAGTCATCTCAGAGAACTTAACAAAACCATTGAACTCACAACACAAGTCAGCCCAATCAACAGCTAATACATACATAACCCTAACCTGTCTTACTCAACTACCTTACCATCTTACCAGACCACCTTAACCTTAACTCAAACCCTTAACCATCTTACTCAACAGCCTTTAAACCTTAACCTAACCTTCTTACTCAGACCGCCTTAAACCTAAACCTAACCATCTTACTCAGACCGCCTTAACCCTAACCTCAACCTTCTTTACGTCAATAAGCGCCTTAACCTTAACTCAAACCTTAACCATCTTACTCACAAACCGCACTTAACCTAACCCTAACCACTTACTCACACCAGCGCGTAGACCCTAACCTTAACCATCTTACTCAACCGCCTAAAACCTAACCTCAACAATCTTACTCTGACCGCCTTAACCTTAACTCAACCTTTAAACCATCTCTTACTCAGACCAGCCTTAACCTTAACCAACCACTTACTCAGACCCGCCCTTAACCTAACCATAACCATCTTACTCAGACCCGCCTTAACCCTAAACCTTAACCATCTTACTCAGACCCGTGCCTTAACCTTTACCTTAACGCCGAACCTTAATCCATCTTACTCAACCTACCTTTACCCTATCCTTATCCATCTTCCTCCGACACCACCTTAACCCTACACCCTAACCATCTTACTCCAGACCAATCCTTTACCCTACACCTTAACCTTCTTCCTCAGACCCACCTTAAAGCCTAACCTAACCATCTAACTCAAGACCGCCTAACCTAACCTAAACCAGCGTAACTCAAACACCTTAACAAACCTAAACCTTAACCATCTTTCTCAGACCACCTTAACCCTAACCTTAACCATCCGTACTGAAGTCATAATTTCCCTTTGACTGACAGTATCCCAAAGTCGATGCAAGAGCGACTAAGAATCTTTCACAGTTTAACACTGCATTTAATTATCTTTACAATCAATACAAATATCAATCAAAAAAAGTGCTCCTAAACTAATAGGTCCCCTCTCCTGCCCTACGGCTGACTGACTGCAAATCTCCGCCCAGCAGTTTCTATCAAAGGGTCCCGATGACGTCACTGATCTGGACTGGTCTGGCCCCTGGTCCGGTTCCTGGACCCGGTCCTTATCCATCTCACCTGAGGCAAACAATTACCCACCACTGGGCGCTGATTGTTGGACTTTTGCCCCTCGTCGAGAGTGGGAGAGAGCATTTGTTTATTCTTGGAGTCAATAATTGTCCTGTTTTGTAACTGGTCATCTCTTATGATTCCTGATGCATATTCCTTTGTCACCAGATGTGCAGCATTTGTGAATATTCGTCAGTCCCTCTTTTGACCTATATTAACCAAATAAGGTCAACAATCTTTCAATATTCTCTGGGTGAGCGGGACTGGGGAGATTCCATCACCTAGTTCTCCTGGCTCGTATCTGTGAAGAGTTTAATACAGGGAAGATCGAACCAACACACAACCACATGAAAACATTCTTCACTAAACTCTTGGATGACCACTGCTGCATTCTGATCCCTTCTTCAACTTCGTCTGTAATGTATGCAGCTAAAACTATTCACTATAGTTTAAACTATTCTAATCTATTTACCATATGTTGCTTCTTGCTTTTATTGAGCCATATTCTTAAAACATATGTTTTTATCTAATAAATCTATCTATACTGTGGTTTTGCTGTCATATCAGTGGCTCGTTCCTTTTTGTGGGGCTTTGCTCATTTTTTCCTAACACATTTTGTTTGAACCAGGAAAGAGTGGTCACTTACCTTCTCTCAGACCTTTGGATAAATGTACATCGTTAATCAAATTGTATTATCCGTACAGGAGCCTAATCTATTGTAGCAGGTTTCTCTGGGGTTAGTCCCTATACTTAACGGTATTTTGATTCTCGTATCTGTTGCTGACTCTTAAAATCCTCAAACTACCCGAAAAGAAAAAAAAAAAAATTCTACTTTTGTGCTATAATCAAATTCATTAAAATGCTTTTCCAAATGTTTTTGAATCTGTGTTGGTTCTAAAAGCGAATCTCTTAATCTATCTCATTACTTTTTGCATTGTCACCATTCACCTATGTTTGAAACAAGTGAATTTGACATACTTAATAAAACTGTGCATAAACTGAATAACTTATCTACCTTTGAAGTAAATACTTTAGGACTAATATGAAGGAATGGTCCTTTTATTTAAACCGTTTGAATATTAGCCAGTCCTAAAAATAATCTCTATTTTTGAAAGCATCTATCTATTTTAACACTCTATTTTGTGACTCCAATCTTGGTTGTAGTTTTTGAGCCAAAGCATAATACCACTTTAGTTCCTGATTGGTAACATAGCATTGGCAATAGAACGATTTTTATTGGCCGGTCTTGTTCTTCAAATGAATTCACTATTCTATGTATTGTATTTCAGGACAATTCACAAAACGAACACAGTCGTTCTCCAATATTAAAAGACATACATCTAAACAAGTTGCCTGAAAAGGGATTTTACTATTTTAAACGTTCTCTAACGATTATAAGGCATGAAATTATAATTATTTAAATAAACAAAAGCACATTCTATAGAGGATAAAATCCACTGATATTGATTTGATGATATATGGAGTGTAATGCATACATTTTCTTTGTTTTTAATAATTTTTAAAAAGTTTTTTTTGAAATTTTTTTTTTCTTTCTTTTTCCACTTTATTGATTGATCAATTTGAGTGATCACATGTGATTATGTGATCAAAGGGGAGGGTGTTAGTATTAGATAGCAATATGGCCTACGTGCAGGACTCTACAAGGACTCTACAAGGACTCCATGTTATAACTATGATGTGACTGTCTCTTTGTGACACGTATGTCTTTCGATGTGTGACGTGACAATGACTAAATAAACTGTGTACTGCCTTTATTCTGTCTGAGAGAAAGAAACAGAGTAAACCAGTGGAACTTGAGAGAAACTTAAATAAACTTCCAGAGTTTGGCACACCACGATCCGTCTCTGTCTGCTTGAATCCTAACAGAGCGCACAATGGCGATCCGCGCGGAACAGCCCAAAGCCCTGCAGCTCCAGAGCGCAGTCCGGGATCCGCTCATTTAGCCAGGTCTCAGTGAAGCAGAACAAACACAAGAACACAGCGCCAATAGTGGTTTATCTCATGTTGTCACCCAGTTACCATCACCAGTGTAATGTGCCACAGTAAATATATATAAAGCTTGGGTGTTTCACTTTCAAACCACTGAAATGGAACAATATAATAACATCCCCTTAGGCCCCGTTTATACGGAGGCGCTGCGCCGACGTTGTCAAGCGTTCACACGAGGATCAAAAACAATGTAGTTCTAGCACCCGGCCAGTAGTGGGCAGAGGAACTTTACAACACAACACACGTGAGCCCAAGCAGTATATTCACTTCCTCAACAACATCCTCCTCAGGCGCCGCAAAGACGTGAAAGAATGCACCAACATCATTCTGCATTTAACGGCAGCTGCAAAAATGGAAACTGAAACTAGAGGAGCGTATCTGAGGCCCCGTTTATACGGAGACAATGCAACAGTAAAACGCTATAGTTGGATGTCGGTTGCTACCCATGTTCATACGGAGACTGTGTGTCGCGTGTGTTGTGTTGTAAAGTTCCTCTGCCCACTACTGGCCGGGCGCTAGAACTACATTGTTTTTGATCCTCGTATGAACGCAGTTAAATTTGCATAAGGAGCCTGGTCGTTTCTGTTAATGTTCTGGCAACGTCTTCGCAGCGCCTCCGTATATACGGGGCCTGAGCTGTCCTACTCTGCAGGCTGGATCTTAACTCTTACGTTTTCACCTCCCTGGAACACAGTCTCCATGTGAACAGGGGGTAGCAGCCAACATCCAACTATAGCGTTTTACTGTTGCATTGTCTCCGTCTAAACGGGGCTTTAGATCAGCTTTCAGACAGACAGAACTCAACCAATTAGCTCTCAGCCAAATAGTGACTCACAGGGGTAAAGATAATCTTTAATCTCAAAAGAAAATCCTTTTCACATGTTATGCAACTTAAATATATTAAACACATTTATCCAAATATTTGGAGATATGAAAGTGTGAGGCTTTAGACATGGTTGTTCAGATATCAACATGTTTGTTTTGAAAAAGCTGAAGGCAGCATGTTGTGGTTGGATTTGTTCACAACGTTTTTCTTTAACAAGACTAAACAGTTAGTTAGACTAATCACAAATACACATTTCATTTAGTCTGTCTCTGCTAAAATTATATTTTTTTGTCGTGGGACAAAGGATCTTTATATAAAAAGCTATAAAAGACTCTCCCTAAAACAGCTGTTTGTTATAACCTCAGTCCACACTATGCCTGGAGTTTGGACACAATTAAAAAGAAGAGAATGTGAAGCTGTTGTTAAGTTTTGCAAACACTTTCTATAGGAAACAGAAGTGACCAAAATATATTAAGAAAACATAAACAACTAAGAAACCCAGCTAACAGCTGTCACTCAGCTCACCACCACAAATATTTTTATAATCCCTAATTTGTTTAGTTCCAAAAGTAAACACATTGTTTTGTTTGGAACATACTTACACCTTTTTATTTGATTCTGCTGTCATTTTAGAAGCATCTGAGTTATTAAACCTCTCCAAAAAGTCCATGTGAAGATCAAAAACATTTACTACATTAATTGACAACTATTTCAATAATCAATTAGTTCCAATTCATTGATTCACTTGTTACAGCCCTAATCATTGAAAACAACAAAAAAGCTAAAATCTGGGTTGATTTCCGATTGGTACACAACTATACTGCGTAATATCTATCTTACCTACAGTTACAATATACATAAATGTATATAAATGTGCAGCCATTATCTAGTGTTGCGTCCCGGCCTCACTCACCGGTGACAGTCGTGCCACACCCAGCTCTCACGGTGAGCTTTTGGCTTGAAGTCGGACTGTCCGTTGTTGTGGATCTGGGAGGAGAAACGCAGCAGGCGACGGTAGGAGTTGGCAGGGGTGGAGCTGGAGGAGGAGGCCAGGCAGTTCTCCTCATAGGCACACTGCAGCATGAACATGGGCCGGTCCTCCATGTAGGTGGTCTGCTCTACCACCTGAGGGTTCAGCACCAGGTCTGGGGCGGCTGTGAACACACCAGGTGAGACCCAGGATTAAAGAGGACCTCAAGAGGACGTAACATGCTTTTGTCGGGTATAGCGACCCTATAGAAGAGGGTCTGAAACTCATTTAGCCTGTGGGCCGGACAGGGTCAAGTCTGAAGCTGGGCCGCATTAAGGGATACATTTATCATGGGTTTGTGTCTGTGAAAATTCACAAGCTATATTTCAGTTTACACACACAGTTTAGCTTCTTTATTGATCGATAGATATAGTTTATTGATTCCCGTAGGAAAATTGCAGTTATCCAGCAGCAGAAAACACATCCATTTAAACACAAGTACATCTATTAAATAAATTAACATTTATAAACATTTCTAACTCCTGTTGCTACAATTACTCCTCTTCTATAACTGCTTTCATATATTTATATGAAAACTTAGATTGAAACAAAACTGGACCAAAGGCAAATAGGCTCAGTATTGTGAGCATCTGGGCTGAATTATCTTTACTATTTTACTTTTAATAATTACTTGCATTCAGGGTTGAGGGCTCTCAGTCTCCAGAAGACTCCTCTCTGAGCAGTATTTTCGACTAAGTGCTTTTTTCATATTGTGCACTTTCTTGATTCTAGCACGCTAGATCAAGCTTGATCTAGTGTGCTAGAGGGCAGGAGGGTCTGTTGGACAGTCAGTGTCCAACTAGAAGGACTGTGGTGAGGATCCAGGACACTTTAACATTCTACAACATGTATGGACATTTATCAACATTCATGGACATTGGTCTCTCCCTATGGACCAATTCATAATATCTTAACTGTTGATTATCTGATCTGTGTTGGTGATTTCAATGGTTTTGTTAAGTCCTCTGAGATTACTTCTGTCGTGATTTAGGGCTATACAAGAATAATTTGTTGTTGTTGTTGATATTGTTGTTGAAGCCTTCTCTTCTTAACTAGTAGACAATTGTATAAACATCTGACCTTTTAAGTACAAGATATTTAGGGAGATATTTGTGCCATATTACGTTAAGAATTGTTAAGAATTGTATTAAATTGATCTCCTGCGCTTAAATGTTGATATAAAATAAGTAATTTTATGAATTGTAATATTATGGGTAAGTCCCGCCTTCCCTTCTCTTAGCTATAGCTCAAAATTCACGATACCGTCCACTTTAACCAATCAAGTGATGCCAAGGGCTCTCAATCATCGCGCTTGTGCTCGTATATGTAGATAGATAGATAGATAATTTATTGATCCCTCGTAGGAGAAATTCAGGTGTCCAGTAGCAGCAGGTGTCCAGTAGCAGAGACTCGCGCCACCACTGAGCTGCACTGTCCAGCCCAAAAAAGCGACACAGTGATGGACTTGGGGGACTCCCTTCTTAGCAGAAGTGGAGTGCATTTATTGCGACTCGCCCTCACTGTTCTCCGACCGCGGTAAAGTGGCCCGGCTTTTCAGAGTCAGCGGTAAAGAGGTCCGCACATCAAAAGCGGGTGGCTGCTTTCTGCTGTTATTTTATGCGATTCATCCCCGCGGCTTCTCTTTCCAAAGTTACTGTAAGTAACAGCATAAACTACCGCTGCCCTCTCTCCCTCCGCTGCCTTCTCTCCCTCTCTTCGCACCATCAGCCTGACCTCACATGTGACTTTTCTCTCCCTCCGGGTTTTTCTGTTGTGGATATTAACCACGTTTCATTTTAAAGCAGGTATTATTTGTTTGAAGCCTCCAAACACCTTTAGTTTTAGCAAACAACAGCAGGTCACGCTTTGTCGCTGCGTGACGTAAGCTGCGTAACTTGATTTTGATTGACGCTGTCAATGACTGGACCAAATTACAAACGTAATTTAAATATATTATATTCTCCTAACACAATTTAACAAGTAGTCCTTTTGAATCAAATCAAATGCTAAATCAATATTTAAGGGCTATTATTTAGCTCAATTTTTTATATTTTTTATATATATTTTTTTGTGTGGAAATCATCTTGCGTCCCCCCCAGGGGTTCCTGGTCGGGACCCCCACTTTGGGAACCACTGTGTTAAAAGGAACAATATGTAAACATCTGGCCAAAAGTGGTACTGCAGTCACAGTCAATATTTTGTAGTCCTCTCCCTGACTCAGCATGCTAATGTTGAATTAATGTTTCATTTTTTTTTTTTATTTGGACATTTGAGATAAAAAACAAAATAAAAGCAATGTAATTATAGATTATCCTAAATAAATAAGCAATTGATGTCCAAAATAGGAGTGGGAAGAATGGATGTTGGAACGTATTTCTTCAGCGTATCAACATCAGGGTTTGCTCCAGAGGATATCATCTTTCAATTTTATGTATTCCCTATTTTTTTGACAAACATGTATAAGTCCCACATCAAAAAGAGACTAACATTATTTTAATTGGGGTACATGTGGTCTCAAATGATTCTTTTTACAATTAAGCTTTAATCTACAAAAAAACGTCTTGACCTTCGTCTTTTACCGTATTTAGAAAAATCTGTCATAAAACGTGATAACATGCAATTAAATACAAAAAGGCTCTGCCCGGAATTGAACCCGGGTTACTGCATCATGAGCGCGTAGTTTTAACTATTAGACTACCGATTCGCGTTGTAAACAATATTCTGAAGAACGGACTGAAACCAGCAAATTTTGCATCACACGTAAACTTTTATCAGCTGTCTCAATTGTTCAAAGGCGTCCCGATATAAATCCTCGTTTTAGTCTTTGTTTTGTCGTTAATTATTTGAGTCATAACAAGACCTCTTTTAGTTCTGCGCCACATGTTATTTTACCAGTGAGATTAGCTGCGCGAAGTTCTGGCAACCTGATCACGGACTTACATGACACTTCCTGATTGGCGAAACGGCAGAGGGTAGGACATCAAAATAAAAACAATAACAACTTTTACGGGTCGTAAAACTAATTTTGATATTCAAATTCGTTCGGTTGAACTACTGTTATCTGTTAAAGATCTATTCGAAAAGAGCATGATTTAATAATGCCTTTTGAAATATGGGGGCCATTTAATGATGACTTGACATGCAAATATTACATACTGCTACTTTAAGTAGCAGTATGTAATACATCTCGTATAATGTTTTCTCCAATTAACATTTAAATGTGTTGATTGATTTTTGTGTTATTGAGCGTGGCTAGCTCCGATAGCTTCTCTCACACAGACAGAAGTAATAAGTGACAGGCGCTGAAAGCTCGTTGTGATGAAGTGTACAAACTACTGTCTGGAGTAATCTTAGTATTTTACACACCTGAAATACAAGCACAGAGTGCGTTGCCAAAGGGCAGCGGCCATTATTGGTTTGAGAGGTCCGTTACCAAGAAATAATTATCTGTAGAACAACAAATCAATGGAGCATTCTACAGCTGCTGTGAGGAACTGAATAAAAAATTATGATAATAAATAAATAAATAAATAATAATAATCTCTCCTCTGGCGCGTGCACAAAAAAATATGTGCGGCTTCAAGATCAATCAGAAAGGAAAGGGGAGGGAGGTTGGGTTGTTTTTGTCAAATCATGTACCTCTCTACCTCTCTTTTTTCTGACATACTCCAGACAATCACTTGAAGTGCTTGTCTGCCCAGTGTGTAGGCGTTTTTGCATACATTTCTGTATACCAGAATGTATGCAGAAATGTATATACCCTCACCTCACTCAACTCACTCAACTCACTCAACTCACTCAACTCACTCAACTCACTCAACTCACTCAACTCACTCAACTCACTCAACTCACTCTCAGAGCAGGACACCCCAGCTGCATAGCGCCCCCCTCCTCTGGCACACTGCAGGTGTGCTCCGTGGTGTAAGCAGTGGGACAGGGACATCTCCGTGCCCGAGCAGCGCACTCCACTCATCACCACGGCGTCCGCACTGACCGGCCCGGACCAGTACCACGTCTCCTGGAAACACACGTTACATGGGATCAGAGGCCAGGTCCCTCATATTATCAAACATTCAACATTCATATTGGAAGGCAGGTTTTTAACTTGAGGCTTATGGGAAAATCAGCCTCAGCAAACACTTGGACCTGAATCTCTGAGGTTATTCTCTCCAGTATTCAGGGTATCAGTGTATCAAGGCTCACATTTACTTTTCACCATAATAAGGCAATTCTGGCGATGAGCAGGTAATAATGTGGTTGTAAATGTGACAAATGGTTTTGCCCAGTAGAAGTGAAATCTTACAAAACTAATAATTTAAGTGAAGTGAAACACTTCCAGAGTTCGGGTCTGCGTCTGACTCAGGGTTCAGGTCTAACCTCAATTTAATACAATTCATTTTTATAGTCCTAAATCACAACAGTATCTTTGAGGACAGTCTGTGTCCGCATACATGTCGATTTGCTAATACAGAGCAGAAGTAAGTATTTTTTATGTATATGGCACATTTTTACAGACCAAGGTCACCCAAAGCGCTTTACAATGTTCAGAGTTCAGATATTGTTCCATTTTCTCCCCACGGTGATGACGGAAGTGAGAAGCCGAAAGCCGAGAAGCCTTTGACCAAACACCATTCATTCACTCACTTAATCATTACATTCATACCTATTGTGCATGTTTTTAGTGGTTGGAGAAACTGGGGCACCCGGAGGAAACCTACACAGACACAGGGAGAACTCAGAAAGCCTCTGTTCCGACTGGGATTCGAACCCAAGAGCTTCTTGCTGAGAAGCGAGAGTGCTATCCACTCAGCCACTGTGTCGCCCGCAGAAGAGAGAATAAAACAGTTCAAACACAGGTAACACAACTCTAAAAACACAGAGCCATTGGTCCACAAGGGGCAGATGACCAATGTCTATTAACTCACTGACTGCCAGGCATTTTCAGATTTGAGAAGTGCGTTCTGCCAGCAATTTCAGGTGATTTGACCCAACTTTGAAGTGCCACAGAATATTCATTTTTTAGACGATGTAAACACCAAGGGCACCAAATTAAAGATTAACCTCTCTGCTTTACTCTGAAAAAAACAGTTTGTTTCTACCCCTTACTGTTCTTGAGCTATTCGCCATAGAACAAAGCATACTTTCACCCACAACACCTGGTCTGAGCAAGAAAACAGAGAAAACGAGCTGTATGTAAACAGGAACATATCAAGCAGAAGAGACTTTTAGATGCATTTTTGCTGCTTTAGTGACAACTCAAAACATCTTCACACTTGTTCCATTACAAAAATTATAAAAACATGACTCTGAAATAATACTTTTGATGGCAAATTGTTGGCAATTTATTCACAGATAGAAAATTTAACTTTCTTCTATACCATCAACCAAAACGTCAAACAACACAAAGATCAATAAAACTATAAATGTATAAAATAGAATGAAGCGTGTAAATTTGAGTGTGTGTGAATGTCAGTGTGCGAGTGAGTGTCTGTGAGTGCGTGCGTGCGTGTCTGTGTGCGTGTGAGTGAGTGAGTGCGTGTGTGTATGAGTGAGTTTATCTGCTTTTTCAGTCCTCCCAGTAGTTCAGCTTTGAGTTGTAGAGGTTGAAACACTGTGTGCAACGGAACACGACACGCTGTGTGCCATTTGTAGTTCTCCCTCCGTGAAGAAGAGCTCCAGAAAGTCAGCTGGATCAGATGAATCCAGCTCCAGAAAGTCAGCTGGATCAGATGAATCCAGCTTCGCAGCCTCTGTCCTCAGCCTCTGTGGTCCAGGAGCTCCTGTGAAGGGCAACTGACTCGGCTCCCACTGATCCTCCTGTCAGCCATCTTCCCCAGAGCTTCTGGGTGACGAACGTGCTGGAAAATGGATACCCACAATAACTATATTATACAGTGAATTTGTTACAATAATCAATACATAAAATACAATGAAGGCCTTCCTCCCACATTATTGACTGACTACTTTTGGAGCAAACACAGTATACTATATTATTATTATTATTATTATATTATATTGCCATGGGATGTACAGAATAGAAATAGTAGTTCTTTTACCTTTTTTGTGCACAGCAACTGCCTCTTGATGCACCACCTGTAAATAATATAAATTTGTATATCACTATACCAGGAGAATATATACAATAATATGTACAATGGTATGAGGAGGAATTATCTTTACCTCTGCTCCTTGCCCTGTCAACCCCAATGGGGGAGGGCTCTTTTATCAGAATCTGTGAATGGAGAACACATTTCATTTAGTCAGAGCTATGACACTGCAACAAGATGTTCAAGTATGAAATAACTAAACATAAAAATAATAAATACAACAATGATAAAACGCATAACTGGCATTTACTAAAGAAACAGTAGGATTTCAGAGCTGTGTTACTTAGCAGATCAGAGCAAGTTTCCGCGCCTTTCCCTCCTCTCAAGTTAGCATATTCCTGGCAATTTAGCAAGTTCTTACCTTCGACTCTTTGTGGAGCTTCTGGAGAGGATGCTCTGCTGGATTGAGACTGCAACCACTCATCCGATAAATCATGATCAGGTTCTCTGAACGAATCCGAGGCATCAGTAACAACAGCAGCTGATACGCTGCGAGAGGAGGAAGGTGTGTCCCTGCTCCGGGCTCTTGCTCCGCGCAAATGTGGCTGCAGAGACGGACCTCCACCGGGGTCTCCACTCTCTCCCCTCTCGACCTCACTCACTGATCCGCGAGTCAATCCCTGAAGCAGTGTTAACTGCTTATAACTATTCTTTTTCGCCATCACTCTTGCTATACTATCGCTAAACTAGATCGCTGATCCGTCTCAATGCTACGCTATCATCGCTCGCTCTGCTACAGCAGCACGCTCTCCAAACACTCCCACACTCCTTCCTCCTCTCCACTGACTTATGACCTCTCCTGTGGTGCAATACTGCATCCTACTGGTGTTAATTTATCATTACAGGTACATTTGCACTATATATCAGTATTGTGGGTCATTCACAAGGTGCGCCAGACATTACTGTAGCCTCCCGTGTAATAACACGAAAAACTCGTCAAACTTGTCATGGGCAGTGAGCGTTACTATTCAATATGACGAGTTTTGTCGTCATGGGCAGTGAATGAGTTAATATTAATATCCATCCATTTTCTTCCCCTTAATCCATTTCTGGGTCGGGGGGTGGCAGTCAGAGCTACACCCAGTCCACGTAGCACCAGCCCCTTAATGTAATAATGTTAATACATGTCCATAAATGTCGTTCAATGTCAAATGTCCTGGATCATTGCCACTGTCCGTGACCCTGCTGCATCGGCAAGGAAAAACAATAAATTCCCAGTGGGATAAGAGGGAGGAACCTCGGGGAGGCCCACAAGTTCTGACTTAGGCATCTGGTCTGGGTCTGGGTCTGGATTTAGGTCCTCTTACCTGGAAGGCATTGCTGGCGAAGCCCAGGCCCAGCTGCCTGCACACCACCATGGCCTCTCGTACGCTCCAGCCTTCGCTGCACACAGAGCCCCAGACCAGGGAGCCATTCTTCTCCTGCAGCACCTCCACACGGCCCTCGAACGGGGAGCGGCCACCAGACAGACGCAGCTGCAGCACAAACACTTCACTCAGCAGAGCACCTTCCATTGTCTTACACAAGATTCATTCACTTTGGTGTGAAGGTCCATTTAAAGCTAGGGTGCAAAAGTTTTAATCAACATAAGAATGGAATACAATCCATGTCACTATGCTTTGCTACTATGGGGTAAGGTTACTGTCAATAAAGACGTGCCGGTCTAAAAAAAATGCGTGCATATTTATTGGTATTTGTGCATAAAAATATTTTATTAATTCATGATTAAGATAATACAAACTAAAAAGACATGGAATTTCGTAATTAAGAATAAAAAAATATAAAACTGTATGTGTGATTTTGTTTTTGTGAATGCTATTTTTTTTGTGCTTGCATTTTCTTTTTGAGAATACGAATTTCAGCAGTGAGCAAACTGTCAATATTACGTCACTGCTCACAGACATTAACAATCGAGCCTGCGCAGAGTTGATCATGGCAGAGGGCAACATTAACAATTTGGCTCAAAATCAGGTAAATAACTATATTTGATCATTTTGGTCGTAAATAAATGTGTACAAAATATTAATTCCATAAAATGAGTTCATAAGATGTTTCTTGTCCCTCTCTAGAAACGTTTTTTTAGGCAGTGTTTAGGCTAGCTTCAATGCTAGTTTTACAGCTTACCATGTTATTTTAAAACCAACATTTTTACATTCTTAGCATTTACATTTTATGAAGCCTTTGCCCCGAATCAATGTGGTTAATGTGTTGATACCAGCCCCAACCCTCCAGATTATTCATATTTTGCGCTGTTACTGCCCCTGAGTAATATGAAGAACACCTCCGTGCTATACTCATCCTTGGTTGTTAGACGGAGCAGACCCTGTCCCTGTGGGCCTCAATCTTATATTTGTGAGTAAATTTGACACATTACTTTTACTCACTAGTTCAGTAACGCTAGTTAGTCTGTTTAGACTAAAATAAATGCATTGTTTTCTGTAGAATAAAACAATATATGGATAAGAAAATAAAACTAGCATTGGAGCTAACAACACTGCCAAAAAACCTTTAGACGGACAAGAAACATCTTCTTATGAACACATTTATGGAATGAATATTTCTTACACATTCATTTACGACCAAAATGAAAAAATATAGTTATATACCTGATTTTGAGCCACTTTATTTATGTTGTGTCCCTCTGCCATGTTTAGTTTTTAGGCAATGAAGTTGATCAACTCTGCGCAGGCTCGAATATTGACAGTTTGCTGTCAATATATTGACGTAATATTGACAGTTTGCTCACTGCCGAAATTCGTATTCTCAAAAAGAAAATGCAAGCACACAAAAAAAAAATCGCAAACAAAATCACACATACAGTTTTATATTTGTTTATTCTTAATTACAAAATTCCATGTCTTTTTAGTTTGTATTATCTTAATCATGAATTAATAGAATATTGTTATGCACAAATACCAATAAATATGCACGCATTTTTTTTAAGACATGCACGTCTTTATTGACAGTAACCTTACCCCATATGCTACTATCACTAGTTTTCACATGCATATATTTTTGGCCACATCTTTGGTTAAGTTTTTTCAGACATTCTCTAGTGTGCGTACATGTCTTTGCATAACCGATGCACAAGACATGTACAGCGCTGAAGCTGGACTGCGGAGCCTCAGTCTCCTCCGTGTCTTCTCCCGAAGTGCACTCGCTAAATTAAAGCTGAGGTACCTAAATTTCCTTTCGACTACCAGTTCATGTTAGTTGTGCCAAAAAAGTAATGGTGTGAGCAAATCAAACAGATTTAATGACATTCTGCATTTCAGACTATTTTGAAATGTCCCTCATCTGTAACAAACAATAGTTTTGGTCTGAGTCTAAATAGAAAGACAGAAATAATGTTAATTCCCTTTTATATGGATTTATTGTTATAACAAACAAATACAGTACATATGTTCACTAAGCTGTCATTTATCTTTCCATTCAAACAACCATTTACAGAAAAATATGGCATAATTTTGCCAATAGTTTGAAATGTGATTAATTACGATTAATTAATTTTTAAGCTGTAATTAACTCGATTAAAAAAATTTATCGTTTGACAGCCCTACTTTAAACAAAGAACAGCTAGTTTACTTCCTGTCTATGCTATCGCTATGGCACTGTGGTGAGTGATAATGAAGTTTTTTAGGAATTAGACTGATACATTCAGCTGTGAGACTGACCCAAAAGTGTTGACGTGCTTTCTCTCTGAGGAATAGCTTTGACTGTGGCCACTCAGAGAGATTAGTTTACTTTATAAAAGCACAAAGACAGCACAATCAAAGAGCACTGCTGTGTCCCAAAAATGCCCAGTATCCTCACAGTGTAATGCCCGTTTGAGCATTATTTAGGAAAAAGGTGTATTGTATGTACAGTACAGACCAAAAGTTTACACACCTTCTCATTCAAAGAGTTTTTTTATTTTCATGATTGTGAAAATTGTAGATTCACACTGAAGGCATCAAAACTATGAATTCACTCATGTGGAATTATGTACTTACTTACTTAAAAAAAAGTATGAAACAACTGAAAATATGTCTTATATTCAAGGTTCTTCAAAGTAGGACCTTTAGCTCTGATTACTGCTTCACACACTCTTGGCATTCTCTTGATGAGCTTCAAGAGGTCTGAGTTCCCACAGATGCTTAGCACTTGTTGGCGCTTTCGCCTTCACTCTGTGGTCCAGCCCCAAAACCATCTGGATTGGGTTCAGGTCCGGTGACTGGAGGCCAGGTCACCTGGCCCAGCACCCACCACTCTCCTTATTGGTCAAATAGCCCTTACACAGCCTGGGTGTGAATCTACAGTCAATAGTCATGAAAAGAAAGTAACCTCACTGAATGAGAAAGTGTGTCCAAACTTTTAGTCTGTACTGTATGTGTATTTATTGGTGTATTGTGTGTGGATTGTGTGTGTGTGTGTGTCCTTACCCTCTCCTGGAAGCCCATGTGTGGCACATTACACCGTACTCCTGCGTCCTCCTCGTGGCTGCAGTCGGCCGCCTCTTTGTTGAAGGGACATTCTGTGACCGACTTCTCCAGACCAGAGCACTGCACTTCGTTCATGTGCACGGGGCCCATACCTGAGGGCCACACATCTTCAGGATTAGATCACTGCAATAGCTCTACAAATTCTACACTACAAAAAGACATGTGACAGGGAAATCTACACGGGATAAGATCTAAAAGGTAAACTCAATACAATTCAATTTATTTTTTTACAGCCCTAAATCACAAAAGGAGTGGTCTCAGAGGACTTTGTTGTGAGTGATCTCAGAGAAAATTTCCATTCACCAACCCACCGGGGAATGAACAATGTATGTTCGAACAAATAGTTCGAACATACAATAAAAACAAACACAAAGGAACCATTGGTCAAAAGGGAGGGGGATTACTACTGTCCATAAATGTTGACATATGTCCAGAAATGTCCTCAAATGTCCTGGATCATTGATCATCACTGCCCTTAAGGCACGGTCACATAGGTTTTTACAAACCAACTAGACCAATTGGCCCAGATCGTCACCACAGGGGTGTGAAGCACGGCCCGCGGTCACAAGGGCTTATTCTTTTAACCGTGCCAGAGCAACTGTGCTGTAGTACAACGCTCGGTCCAGCTGGTGGCGCTAATACTAACTTAAAAGACTACCTCGTTGTCAAAAGTTAAGTTTCCGTTTCTCTTCCTGTTTACATTCTGCTACTGTAGCTAACAGCTCGAGCATGGAACGCATTCTTTGTATCAGAGCAATGTTTACAAGTGTGACGTGTGTATTTCTCCAAAGTGCAGCAGCTCAGTGGGTAACGTGTGTGTGTGTGTGTGTGGGCGCGCCGCGGACACGGGACTGCGCCTCTTTAGTAACGAGTGTAAGAGCGCTGAGAAATGAATGAATGAGAATGAAAAATGTGGACGATCAGAGCGACCGGAGCCAGGCAGGATACAAGTGTGTGTTCTAGCGACTAATTAAAGTCTGATTCTTGACCGTCCAAAGTATATTATTGCAATTGCACCACATTGTGAAACGCTTTTGTTTGGCCCTGGAGCGACACACTCCCCTGCGCCCCTCCACCGCGGTCCGGGGGATTATATGAAAGGTGCAGGAGAATACGAAAGTGCAGAGACGTGTGTGAAAATGCGCATCACAACGGAATGTGACGCACAATATCAAGTCCCCACCACACCTCATCCCCCACTCCCCAACATCCGCCTCACTGACCCCCATCATCTGGGCTTTAGAAGCGTGCCCTGGCCCACCTCTCTCAACCGTGCTCAGGCCCACTTGCAGCAACCGTGCCCAAGCCCAGTTGCCGCGGTCACATAGCACCTAAAGCCCTGATCTAATCGCAAAGTGGGCCCAGGCCCACTTTAACCGGATTTTAGACCCTCCTGCAGCAACAAGGAATGACTCAAAAAAAGGAAGAAAAAACATAACTTTTGACCCACAAATGTTAACATCCACATTGTTTCAGTAACATCAGAAGTTTTTTTAACCACCCAAAACATTGATAGAATAAAAAGTATATCAAAGAGACATTGATATTTATACTCATGCATTGGTAACTGGGCTTTCCAAACAAGCTCTAAAACAGCTGTAGAATGTTCAAAACGCAGTAGCTGTAGTCTTGACGAGAACCAGGAAGTAATATGCCATTATAGTCCAGTTTTTAGGTCTCTGCACTGGCAGATAATAGACTTTAACGCATCTCTGCTTGTGTACTACTGTCCACACACCAAATGAGCCATCACACCAAAGCTCATCTGTGACATGTTAGTGCCATATGAACAAACTGCAACTCTGAGGTCACAATCCCTCAGGGACTAGTCACCTGCAGGTGCCCAGAGTCAGGGCTTAATATTGAGAGGTGGCATTTCAGATTTATGCAGCTGAAATCAGGAACAGTCTTCCTGAAAATGTGAGAATGTTCAAATCCTGGATAATGCAGTTCTGTTTAGCTGTGTGTAACACGTATGTGCATAAGAGTTACTGATTATATCGGTAATATGGTAACTGTCTTTGTAAAATGTAATATGACTAAGACTACTCAGAAAAATAAGTTCTCTCTGGGAGGAAATGATAGTGCGTATGAAATACTCAAGACACCTGGGATGCTAGCAAATTATTTGTGTTATTGATATTTTAAAGAAGGGGTATTTACAATATTTACAGGCTCAAATGCACTTGAATATTTACAAAACAAAACAAAACCAAAACAAGTAACCAATCGCTCTTTCTATCCACCGAGTTCCCACTCAGAGTCCGATAGGGCCTCTTATAGCGCTTTTCCACAGCACCGGCACTACACCACTCTACACGACACGGCACGTTACTTTTGCATTTCCACTAGCGTTGAAGCTAGGTATTGTGTTCTATTTTCGGACCGCCTCTGGAGCGGTTCCAAAAAGCTACACGCTCGTGACGTAAGCGGACTGCCTACGCTATTGGCCAACGGCTCTCTCACACTATTGGCCAACGACTGTCGTCACTGGTAGCGTCATAAGTGCGACGTCTGACCGTATTGAGAGACAAGATTCAACCCCGCCATTTTTAAAACTGCCCTGTGAGCATACGCACTGCACTCGAGAAATGGAATCCAGCAAGCCGCAAAAGTCCACACCGTGGTCTGTTGATGAGGTCCAAACATTTCTGTCTTTACTGGCCGAAGACAGAATACAGAAGGAGCTCGATGGCAGTACGCGAAATGAGAAGGTCTATAAAGAGATCGCCCAGCTCTTGCTAACACACGGTTACCACCGTACGCATCAGCAGTGCAGGGACAAGATTAAGAAGATGAAGTGCGATTACCGGGCCATAAAGGACCACAATGGCCGAAGTGGGGTCAATCGGAAGACCTGGAGGTGGTATGCCGAGATGGATGCCATTTATGGCCACAGGCCTGCAAACAATGGACGGGAGTGTGCTCTGGACTCTTCTTCCACGTCGAGAATGGGCGATAATGGTAAGTGCTTTGTAACTTTTATCTGTAGTTATTGTGAAAATGCATTATCACGTAACCTGTGGCTCAATGCCCACTGGAATGTATTTATTCATGTAAACGTTTGATTGTTGTCTGCTGTACAAAGTGAGCTAGCTACTTTAAGCTATCGATAGCAAGCTGCTAACACGTGCTACATCTTGCCATTTCACGTGTTGCCATTCAGTTTTGTGCTTTTACTTAAGTCGTTGTGTGTGTTTGTCTTATTATAGAATCCCTTGTCGCAAGTGAAGCGTCGAACGACCCCCCAAGGTCCCCGTCTCCAATCCCTCCAGAACCAGCTGCTGCTTCGACGCCTGATGCGTTCCCTTCGATAGCGAGCGACACGTCTAGCAGCGCACAGCGTGTGGTCACGGGTAAGGCAAACATAATACATGATCGATAGATATTTTATTCATCACCCTGGGAGAAATTCATGTCCTATAGCAGCAAAAAAAAAATAATACAACTACATTGATACTGTGCCGCAACAGTGCAGCTCTATACCGACACCTGGTGGATCTCAGAAGTAATTGCATTCAACTCGGTGAAGTATGTCCAATTAATGCATAGTTTGGACACCATCACCCTAGCTTTAGAGAGTGTCAATAAAAAAGGAATCGGACCACCTGTCAGTGATCTTTTTCCAAATAAAAAATCTAATTTGTGATACAATACCACTTCACTTTGGTGTGAAAAAGAAATGCAGCGAAATGTAAGTTTAGCTGCACTGACTGATTTGATTAATCTGGGTGTATTTAAGTCATGCTCATGCTTTGTCCTAAAATGCCTAAACATTGACCATTAAATATTGTTTATTGACAAAGCGTGATACATGACATACAAACATTACCCGATTTGCAATTAAGTCAAATGATCCCACACGTAACACTTTAAGTGGAGGTTTTTCCTCTTTGAAAGGGTAGTTGTTGCAAAATCTCGGGTAGTGTGATATATACTGGTCTGAAACGTAATAATCTTTTTGCCTACATAAAAGTATGTCTCCAGAAATGTCACTGCTTTGGATAATTACCAACTGTTAATACTTCTTTTATTGTTGTACAGGGAAGAGAAAAAGGGCGCTCTTCCAGACGGAGACTGTAGAAATGATGAGGCAGATCCAAGCTGAAGATGTGGTGCAGCAGGAGCTGAACCGGACACAGCAACTCCAGCTCGTCAGAGAGTCGCAAGAGTTGGAAGCGACATTGAGGAGGGAGGAAAATGCACAGGCGGCTGCATTTAACCAATCATTTCTTGGTCTCCTGGGCCAGCTGGTGGAAGCCATGAGTGGCCGCCGAAACTGACACTTCACCAAGACACTCTTCACCAAGACACTTTGTAAATAATTTTATTGGTGCACTTTAAAATTTTGTTTTTTTTAAATAAATGTGTGATTTTTTCCAAGCCAGGTTTCATTTCTCGGTACACATGAGTTAACATGCAAACCAAAGGTTTCACATTATTTGTTGTCAGTAAATCCTTAATTGTGGTAAATTTAGGAATAGAAGGTTTATTTATTTAAGTGAGGAGCCTACAGGGAACAATACAGACTACTGATAATGTACAGTGTTGGTTACAATACAATAAGCTAGGAAAGTGGGTAAGAAAGGCACAATAAAGAGTTTGTGTGTGCACGTGCGAGTGGCTGATCCAAATCTGAAAGGGAATAAAGGTATTTGTAATGGTGGGAATGGTTAATGGGTGTATGATTGAAAATGTATGAATTAATATTTCATTAATATGCAATATTGGCTCTCTGCATATACATGAACACATACATGCATATCCCACCAAAAGGTTACAATGACAAAACAAGTAACAGCACAAAAAATGAATCCATTATGACTGTCAATACTTGCACTACATTGTGTCCTGTTCTAGTGGTGCGTTGGACCTCTCCACTTGCCCTCTTGAGTTTCTCATTATTGCTATTAACATCCATATCTATATTAATGTTATCAGCACTATTTTTGTGCAATGCGAGCAAGTGCTGAAACCCATTTTTAAAAGTTAGCGGTCTCTGTAGTGGTATCTATGGAGGACTTTGAGTTGTATGTTTGAGTTTTTGGCCATAAAGTAAATGTTGCGGATTTGGGTCCAGAAATTGGCATCTGGAGAAAATGCAAAGTCTTGACATCGTGTTGGGTAGTGTCAATTCCTGTAAGTCATTTGCATAATTGAGTTTGTTTTTGGGAGTGAACTTTAGAAGCTCTGCGTTTAAATGGGCCCAGGTTGTGGGCTGTTTGGATATTGATTTGAATAACTGTTTGGATATTGATTTTATTTAGGATTATTGCTCTTCATTGTGAGTATTCCAGGAAGCATCTGCAGCAGATGGCATATTCCTGCGACTGTTCTGTGAGTGGTGACTGTAATGTGACCTATATGAGTAATACCTGTACTTTCCCAGGAGTGAAATATGAATAGAAGGCATTTTTGCTGAATACAAAAAGGTTTATTTGTTGTTCCAAAACAGGCAAAATGTTCAGACATTGGACAGAAAGTGACGCATCAGACCCTCCCTAACATCACTGCCCCCCTCATCTGCACCCTGTGCCACTGCTACCACAGGCTGAACTGTTGCTACAGGTGTGTCCCATTCTGTCACGTAGGTCTCTCCATGGTTTTCGCACAGATTGTGCAGAGCACAACAAGCCAGCACCATAGACTTTACCAGTTCAGTGTCAGAGTCATTCCTTTTCAGAAGACAGCGCCATCTTCCTTTAAACCTGCCGAAAGCATTTTCAACAACCACCCGCCCTCTGCTGAATTTTCTGTTGAATAGTTGCTGTTCGTCTGTCAGTCGTCCGGTGTCCTGAAAATGTTTTAGGAGCCAGTTCCGCAGGGGGTAAGCGGAGTCCCCTAGGAGGTAATAGCCAGCAGTCACCCCACCAATTTCTCTTGTGTGAGCTGGGAAGAGGCTTCCCCGGCAGGCTAACTCCCACAAGTTAGAGAGTCTCAAGACCCTGGCATCATGCAAGCTCCCAGGCAATCCGGCAAACACGTTCCAAAACAACCCCTTTCCATCAACCACACCTTGGAGAATAATGGAATGCCACCCTTTGCGGTTGAAATAGTCACAATGACATTCCTGTGGAGCCATGATAGGGATGTGGGATCCATCAATGGCACCAACACAGTGTGGGACCCCCCATCTGTTCTCGTTGTAGGCAGCAATCTCCCTGAATTTCTCCTCAGTAGGACAACGGATCTGCGCTGGGACCAACACCGCATTTGCTGCAGCACAAAAGTCTTGCACACAGCGGCACACCGTTGTTATACTGACTCCAAAAAGGTGACCAATGCTTCGGTACTCAGAGCCAGTAGCAAGTTTCCAGAGTGCGATAGCCACTCTCTTCTTTAGGGGCACACATACCCGGTAAGTAGTGTCTTGTCGCTCCATAATCAAGCACAGCTTTGTGCAGAGGTAATCAAACGTTTCTTTGGACATGCGGAAATTCTGCACCCACTGCGTGTTGTTGAAGCTTGGGACTACAATATCCCACCACTCGGAGGCTCGGTTTAAGGCCCACACCGATGGCTTGCGGCGGCGACGCAACCCGAGAAGCATCTGAAACACACACATACAGCATACACATTTTAATGATTTACAGAGACAGCCAGCAGCCATTTTGTTCAGGACGGCTGCTACAAAGCTAGCGATAGCAATATTAGCTTACCCACAAACGCCGTCTTTTTTCAGCTCGTTGTCTCCTGTCCTCAACTGCAAACTCCTGCAAGGTTTTCAATAACTTCGTCATTCTTTGGTGTCTGGCCGCCTGGATTCTTCTCAGGCTTTTCAGTCTATTTGTGACTAGTAGCCACAGAGAGAGCAGCAACACCACGATCGTGTCGGAGTCCTCCATTGTTTGAGGATGTAATGTTTTTCCTGGTTTCATGCTCGTGAGTCGCGCGGAAATGGCGTAACGGTAGCGGAAATGACGTAACGGTAGCGGTGGTATGAAAAGCCCACCCACTTGAAGATGTCCGATGGAGATATGTGGAAAAGCACGCGATGCAGGGATTGTACTAAATATACTGTAAGTTAGTAACAAAAGTGATGTTTAAACTTTATGGGAGCAACTTGGACCTTGGTAAAAATCCTTCAGGTGAATGTGCTTCTATGTCCGTTCTTGGGCAGCAGATAAAGGAACTTAAGCAAGAAATTGTCAGCCTCACTGGAATGTTAGATAGCCTTCACGATAGCCAGCGCTTTGGGTATCAGACTCACCCAGAATTGAAAGAGTCTCAGTTCAATTCAATCAAATTTATTTTTGGATAGCCTAATTGAAACACTATATAATCTCTGAGGTCTACATGAATGTGGCTTCACCACAAGATCAGAGAATCAACTGTTCAAACACAGGAACGGCAACAATTAAAAAACACACTGGTCCAAAGGGCAGATCAACCAATGCCCATCAATTTTAATTTCCGTACTGTACATGTCTTTTAATGTCAATGGCCTATGGAGCTGATCATAACCGTTGAAAAACACGATGCAACCTTCTTTGTTTATTCTCCAACATGTATTCTTTCCTCTTTCTTTTTTCCTCGGGAGCATATCTGGCACACTTCTCTACAAACAAGCCCACGGAGCAGGTTCTGTCGCTTCTCTCTCTGAAGAGTCATGTGCCCAGAGAATCAAGGATGCCCATAGTGAGCGCTTATGAGGACTGGCCTCATTAGACCAGAAACTTACGTTTAAAGAACTTCATCTGTGCCACAAAAAGTCTGTGATTCATGCTGGGGATCACTTTAGCTGAGGCTCAGAGAGAGACCAGGTAAACATCAAGGTTACGAGGGAGGAGGGTCTATGATGAAGGCATTCCTCCCTCTGGCTTCAGTACTTTGCCTTACAGTTGATGCAGTCTTTCTTTCACACAAAAAACACACCAGGTTATTTTTTACCTTTGCATTGGTTGGGTTCGACTAATTTCAGTGAGAAAGTGCGAGCCCCAAATACCAATTTTATTGAAGGTGATCAAAAGGTTGGAACAATTAAACTCCAATTTACCCAGATGTGATTTTTAGTGAGTAGTTCACAAACATGCCTTTATTATTGACTTTTTTTCAGCCCAACATCTTCATATTTTGTTTTATGAATATCATCAACACTTCTATGACACCTTTATGAGAAAAAAAGATTAGACCAGATGGTTGACATGTACTGTATCAATGGCAATGTGAGAAAGAAATGAGCAATCCACTTCATCCATCATTTCTACCATTTATCATTTCGTGGGTCAGGGGGGTGGCAGTCAGAGATGCACCCAAGTCTCATAGCACCAAGCCCCTCACTGATCCTCTGCAGGTGGTGAGTCCACAGGAGAAGGCTGCCTCTGGAAATCCCTTTTTTGTGAGCATAGCCTTGAGCCTTTCAGTCGGGGCTTTTGGGCAAAAAAAAAGTGGGGGTTAAGTGTCTTTGCCAGGACCACAACGTCAGCAGTCATCAGTGGGAGTCGGTGGTGAAGGGGTAGAGGTGGGAATTGATCCCCACGGACCTTCTGAATTGAGCAATCCATTGACATTTTCATGTTTGACCTGTTACCATTAGTTTACCTGGGACACATTTTTCTACTGCCTCCACTACAATTTTAAACCATAGGCTCTTTGGAATGTAACGTCAACCATTTATCTTCTCCTTTTATATAGAAACCATTGCATGAAAGGTAGATTAGATTTAGTTTTTGTAATTATATAACAAAAATATTGTCTAACAAAAATAGGAATGCTTTTGTAGACAGCTTACAAGACCATGACTGGAACTGCGCTTGGTGTGTGCTGTCCTGGTGCATAGTACATTGTCTTGCCACAGTTTTTCCAATGTGGTTTTACATCAATGGTATATACATTCTTGAATCTTGAGGTCCAGTACTAAACTCAAAACATAGGGACTGGGGTCAAGTCTTTTTAATTTCCTCCTCAAGTGCCTTCCTATGGGCTCAGAATCAGAGTGTACCAAAACACACACTTTGTTCTCCTCTTTCCCTCTCTGTGCCAGACTAAATTCCAGCTGGCATGAATCATAATGAAAGTGAGAAGGAGAGAAAAACTATGCCACCTCATCTTTAAGGTAAAACAACCGGTCTAAGCAGGGTCTCAACCAGTAGCTCAGGGAGGCCACAGTTAGCTCGCCACCCCCTTCCAGGTATTAATCGCACCAAAGGAGTGTAGAAAATAAAAAATCAACTAATGTATCTATATTTACAATATTAATATTTATAATAATTATTTTATATTATTTGGTTGTAATATCCAATTACCTTTGGTGCAATAGTAACAAAAATATGCAATGATGTAATATTGACTGTCCCAATATCACAAATTATATCACCACATTTTCTCCAGGGGGCACGCTTAACGGTGTAGTAGCTGCCTCATTGTCCCGGGAAAGTAGATTCTGGGGGAAAAAGGTTGGAGACCCCTGGTCCACACAATATAAGGACAAACCTATGTGGTTTTACCGGTATTTGTAAAGATTAGACTTTATTAAATTTATCCTGAACTGTGGTTTATTGATCAGTCAATGCAATTAAAATTTGATCTTTGTGAATGTAGTATTTTTTTCTGCTGAAATCTACATTTGTCACATGTATGCGGCTAGTTATGGAAGCTTGTAGCCTTTCCCTCGCCAAACCAAATGGCGAAAGTGGAGAGTGGCGAGTATTTGAGCTCTCACAGAAGAAAGTCTTTGGGTTCAATGTCCACTCGAGACAAGGCACTTTCTGTGTGAAGTTTGCATGTTATCCCCATGTCTCCGTAAAATGTTGACTCGGAGTCCTGGGGATAACATGCAACTTCACACAGAAAGGCCTTGTTCGAGGTGGAATTGAAACCCAAGACTTTCTTGCTGTGGAGCTCAAATATCGCCACTCTGCCAGTTGTGCCATTGGGGTTTGGCGAGGGAAAATGGCTAAAAGCTTCCATACTATCCGCACCCTTTACATGATGACCAAATGTAGATTCAGCCAGAAAAAAATACTACATATCACACAGGTCAAACTTTTAATTGCAATGATGCTGTTTCTATAACCACAGTATAGGATAATGTAATAATGTATGATCTTGACAAATACAGGTTAGAACACATAGGTTTGCCTCTTATTTGTGTGGACCAGGGTCTCAACCTTTTTCACCCAGAGAAGCTACTTTCCGGGACAATGAAGGCAGCTAGGCTACTCCTTTAAGCGGCCCTGGTAGAAAATGTTGTGATATAATTTGTGATATTGGGTACAGTCTTTATTAATCAGTGGCTATTTGTTATGAGTGCACAAAGTTAGTGGATTTCCAACAATATAAAATATAATGAATTAATTATATAATTATTTAATATTGTAAATATTGTGTACATTAGTTGATTAGTTTATTTCTACATCCTTTGTGAGCTACCTGGAAGGGGTGGTGGGCGAGCTATGGTGGCTCGAGCTACTGGTTGGAGGACCCCTGGCTTAGACCGGTTGTTTACCTTAAGATGAGGTTGATGATAGTTGTTCTCTCCTTTCTCTTTCAGTATGTTTCATGCCAGCTGGAATTTAAGTCTGGCACAGAGAGGGAAAGAGAGAACTAAAGGTGTGTGTTGTACCTCTGTTCTGAGGCCCATAGGAAGAACGTGTGGAGGAAATTAAAAGACTTGACCCAGCTCCTGATGTTAGGAGAATTAGTACTGGGACTCAGATTCAAGATTGTATTTACATTTGATGTAAAACCACATTGGAAAAATCTGTGCAAGACAATGTTACTAGGCACCAGGACTGCACACACCAGCGCTCTTTCCATGGATCATGGTCTTGGTATGATGTCTACAAATGCATTCTATATTTTTGTTAGAAAATATTTTTGTTAGATATTAGCAAAAAATAATTCTAATCTACTCCTTTCATGGCAATTGTTATTATATATAGGAGATGATATAATGGTGAAGTATACTTTCCAAAGAGCCTATTGCGTTTAAAATTGTAGGGGAGTGGCAGGAGAAAATTGTTCCAGGTTAACTATGGGTCACAGTCAAACATGAATAATGTCAATGATTGATCATTTCAGAGGTCGTGGGTTCAAATTCCCACTTCTACACCTTCTCCACGACTCCCCTCTGATGACTGCTGTCGTTTTGTCTTGGGCAAAGATACATTAACCCCACTTTTTGCCCAAAGCCCCGAGCGGAAAGATCAAGGCCTATGCTATCCACAGGCAGGCGCAGCGTCTCTGTGGACTTCACCACCGGCAGAGGATCAGTGTGGGTGGTGCTATGAGATTGGGTGGATCTCTGACTGCCACCCCCCTGACCCAGAAAGGGATCTAATGGGTAGAAAATGGATGGATGGATGGATGTCAATTTCTTTCAAACATTGCCTTTGTCAGCTACTTGTCAACCATCTGGTCTAATCTTTTTCTCATAAAAGGTGTTAGAAGTGTGAAGATATCATAATAAACAAAATATGAAAGGATGTTGGCTGTAAGAAAAGTCAATTATATTATGGCAGGTTTGTGAAAAACTAATCACTAATAAATTCCTAATTCTGGGTTATATTGGATGTTTAATTGTTTCAACCTTTTTGATCTCCTTTCCATATAATTGTTTTTGCTCGCCACTTTCTCACTGAATTTAAGTCTGAACCTACCTATGCAAAGGTAAAAAAAACTGGTAGTGGTTTTTTGGTGTGAAAGATAGACTGCATCAACTTGTAAGGCTCAAAAGTACTGAAGCAGAGGGAGAAGGCCTTCATCAGGAGACCCTCCTCCCTCTGTAACCTTGAGGTTTACTGTCTTCTTGTGCCTCGAGCTAAGTGATCCCCAGCATGATTCACGACTGTTTGTGGCACAGATGATGTATTTAAACTTAAAGTTTCTGGTCTAATGAGGCCAGGTCTATAAGCGCTCACTATGGGCATCCTGATCTCTGGGCACATGGATCTTCAAGAGGGAGTGAAGCGAAACAGAAGCCTGATCGTGGGCTTGTTTGTAGAGATGTGGCAAGGATAATGCTCAAGTGTAAAAAAGAAATTAGGGAAAGGAATAAATGTTGGTATAAACAAAGAAGGTTGCATCTGGGTTTTCACGGTTATGTTCAGGCTCCATGGCCATTGACATTAAAAGGACCATGTACAGTACGGCGAAATTAAAATTGATGGGCATTGTGATCTGCCCCTTTTGGACCAATTGTGTTTCTTTATTGTTGCCTTTCCTGTGTCGTTGAACAGTTGGATTCTCTGAATTGTGTTGGTGAATCCACATCATGTAGTCCCTCAGAGATTATATAGTGTTGCAATTTAGGGCTATACCAAAAATAAATTGACATTGAATTGAACCTGAAACTTCCTTGTCTTCAGTGAGTCTGATTAACCAAAGCCGATGGCTCTAGTGATAGGCTTTAAACAGTCCAGTGAGGCTGGACATTTCTTGACTTAAAGTTTCCTTTCTGCTGCACAGTGACTGGCCCCCCGGACATAGAGCACATTCACATGAACGGATTTTTACCAAGGTTTAGTTGCTCCAATAAGTTTATCCATCACTTTTGTTACTAAAAACTTACAGTTATATTTTGTACAATCCATGCATCTTTGAAAACAGCTGTTATCAGTTTGAATGGGGCTGTCTATTTGAGGTCATTACTCTCACAATTACAGCACCTGGTATCATCAAAAACAAGATACTTTGACCGGGGACATTCATATACTTGATCGCTCTTGAACGTTGTTAAACGATGAGGACATAGTCTGAATGGTGTAATTAGTACATCATCGTCATAACGTTGCATTGTATTTTGCCAGTGTGAATATTCCATTCTAATTGTCTTGCTTGAGTAATGGAGAGTGGAGCCCTGTCTGCTGGTCAGTCAGATCGGACAGCGCACCATGCATCTTGTGGTGATGGACAAATGGGCGCTGCTCAAAACCATGACTCAGGGCAGACCGTGATTGGACATCCTTCCCTAATCGTGACTTTGTGTGGGAAGATTTGGTTTTTTCATATTAGTAAAAATGTGTGCTTCTATGATTGACAAAACTATGAGAGAGGTATCTGTTATGTTGCTGGAACTTCATAAAGTCTTTGCAACACATCTTAATTAAGGATTGGGCATTGCCCCTTTCTTCAATGCAAGGACTGTTCACCTCTGCAGCCTTCATAAAAGACGGCTATTAACCCCCGAGTTACAGGTGGTTCATGACTTCTCTTTAGGCTAGTATCAGGGAAATGAATCTCTGGGGGAAAGAAGCTTCTACAAGTTGTAATGAAGCGTACAGTTTAGCCATTTTGCGGTGTGTGGTTCAGTTGTGTTATGGTACAGAGACGTTTTTTCAAGGTCACAGCGTCCAAAGAAGGGGCAATTTGTGGTGGCTGATTAAATTGTAAAGATCATGTGGGCATATACTGCTTGAGCTTTGTGCGAGAAGTTATTCAAACCTGTTTGGTCCAAGGTGAGAGGAGAGAGGTTGTTTTAAGTAAAATACATAGTTAAACAGTTAGCAATTAAACCCATAATCATAAAACATTCTTTAATTTTGAGTTCACTCACTGAGGGTATCACTGATTAGATGCCCAAATAATGGTGAGAATAACTAGATGTGACCATTGGGGAAATTCCGGAAGAGCGGTGCGGTGCTTGATAGGAAATATTCCATTTCTATGCTTTACAGGTCTGACTAGGATTTGTGGGTGCGGTGATTAGTAAATAATACAGATGGAGCATGAAATCCGCTTTTCATCGTAAATCCTTTAAAAAGGCATGGTCTTAAGTTTATTTCCTAAAATTTAAAGAAATGAACAATTGGTAAAACATCATATGAATTCATTGGCCTTAAATCTGCTGTTAAAGTTTTAAAATCCCATTGAATGTTTAATCAGAAATTGGCTTAGCTTCGTAACTCTGTATTCATCGAGAACAAAAGGCAGTTATCAACCTTTCAAATGCTTTATTTGACATGGATTTGCTGAAGGAAAATGTTTGGGTGGGCACAGTTTTGTTTCAATTTCCATTCAATTAAATTATTATTCTTCTAATGCCCTAAATCACAACACTTGTTATCTAGGAGGACATTACAAAACCGTTGAATTCACCAACACAGATCAGGAATCAAACTGCTCAAAAAAAGAAATGCAAGATAAAAAATACATAGAGCCATATGGTCCATAAAGTGCAGACCAAAAAGTGATGGATAAATGTACATTAAAGTTTGGTCCACAGTGTCTTGGATCATCACCACTGTCCTTTCAAACCTCCTGCCATTGGCAAGGACAAACTCTAATAAAAAAAAGTGGAAAAAAAGTGAGGTCCACATGAGAGAGGGATCCGCGCACACAGTCGGACAAGCGATCGATCCAGACTAAGAAACGAGGGCCGAAGCCCGCGGGACTGTGCTGTTTCGTTACTTACTGTGGAAAACGTCCCTCTAGCAGCAATAGCTTTCTTTTACTTGTGAACATGTTGCAGAGCATTGCCTTTATGCTAAATGATAAAACTTTCTACTGTCATATTCTATGTGGGTGGCTGGATTTATTGGACTCACAAGGCCACTATCATCAGGAGGGCCTAATAGGTTCGTAGTGTGAGGGGGTTTTCAATGCACTTAATGTGTAATAAAATATGTCCCTGTAAGTGCACTTCTGTGAGAAATCGAAAGTGTCCAGTGTTGAGTACTCCACTCATTAAAGACCGCCTACCAAATGACAACTTCCTTGCACAGCTAATTTGTCCCAAAAGTGATTCTTGTGGTTTTTTCCACTAGTCTATTCCCTCTAAGAATCTCAGCACATGTTGTTTTTCGATTCTTTGTTGTCGGCCTGTTTTACTTCCAATAGCTACCTCGGCGGGTTGACTATAGACTGTCTTTTCTTACAATGACGTATAGCTGGTTTGCTAGAAATGTTACTTTGTAGGAACACAGACATGCTTTATTTCGTGTTTTATTCCTTCAATCCAAGCCTTACATTTGATTGGGGATAATTATTGAAAGCATCCAAAAAGATACCCTTGTACTTTCTGGGTATTGAATTGTGCCTCTAAATGATGGATGACGGTGGGAGCAGCCTGATGATAAGAGCACCTGGACAGGGACAGACCTTCCACCTGACGCGGCCAGGGATGGCTCGGCCTCATGCCTGTAGCATCATTACACTGCTTCTGCCAGACCGGCGCTGCCGCCCTGAGTGATGGGCTCCACCAGGCCAAGCAGGAGGCATATGGGGCGGCCCATCCCAACCAGCCCGGCCCATTCATCTTCAGGCCCCCAGCAGAGAGCCACGATACGGTACACTGGGTCTGCGCTATGCATGCCCACCTGAAGGCCTGCCCTCTAAAATAAACTGCCACTTCATTTTCTGCAGGAAGGATGCTGCCTCGACTGAGAAGGACATGCACTGGATGTGATAGATTGTGAGTCATTGCCAATTAGCCAGTGGCAGATTTTACCAACATTTTTTCACCGATTTCATAATTAAAATTGATAATCATTTCTAATTGTTATTCATTCATTTGCAGAATGGTGGGTAGGGACTATTAATTAGTATGCTAAATGAAACCGTGCACGGATTGTCCATAGAGGAGTTGGGCTAGTGGTTGTTAACATTTGTATTCATAAATGTGTTGTTTTGCACTGGCAGTGATGTTAATATACAGAAACATGTGTAGGATGACATCATTATGGTAGTAAACATGAAAATAACACCTTGACTATAGGTCCTTGTTCCCAACTTTTATCTATGGATGTCTCAATACAACTGGTTTTCTGTTTGTTTTTGTGTGTGAAATTGCGCTCTACAGGTTTCAAACAAAACCTGTAGATTGAGTGATTGAAACCCCAGGAGTACTTTATTTGCCAATACTTTGCGGATACCAATACCAGTTTTGGTTGTTCATTTTTACAGAGATCTCTGAGCCGTCTTCTTGACGTAAAGATAAATCCTCAGCATCATGACTTAGCCGCTAACTCTGCCACTTGTATTCTATGTGAATTCAATTTGGACATTTCAGTCTGTTACTTCCTGATTTAGGTGATTATCATCTCAGACTTAATTAATTATATTACGCTTCATGAGCATGCAGAATCCACTCGTTGTGAGATTAGACACAAAGTCTAGATACAGGAGCTAAGTACGAGAATATACGGTATGGAAAGCGTTACGCATTACAAACATTCTGTTGCATCCCTATTACTGTGCCATCCCAAATGAATTCTTCAGCCGTTATATAATTGTAATGGTCCATTGCTTAATTTTTTCCAAACCAGGCAGGGCAGAGAAGAGAGGGCTGAATGTGTGAGGACCTGTGTTTTCTGTATTGACTTTATTTCAAACCAACCCAAAATAAGACCAGATGAAATGAAGTGCCATTACACCTTGATATCATCCTTCTTGAGCTTTAACACAAAGGAGGATTATAAATTGCCTCTGGAAAGCCATCTCTTCGATTCTCTAACAGACAGCTTCAACATTTCTGACAGCTGCATTTAGTAGGACATAGCAGTAAAATCATCACTATGCAGCCTGTGAAATCAGTATCGTACATGACGATTACTAACATCCCATTTTGTCTCCATCACGCATGTGAAGATATTTCTTATAATAAATGCTTTGTTTTTGCCCCGGCCCTCTTCGGATGCAGAACCAGTGCAGCCAGATGCAAAAGCCAATGTACACAGCTTGTCTGTAACCGTGCGTTCCAATATTTCATAAGGTAATGGTTGCCTTAATGTTTCATAATCTTACTGCATTGCGCCCAAACTGTTTTCCTTTTATTTGTATCACATTGCCTCCCTGTTGTCCTATTAGCTTTGGCATTTAAAAAAAAAAATTCGCTCCTAGTTTTTCTTTCTTTCTGTTTCACCCCCCCCCCCCCCCCCCCCCCTGAGCATTAATGAAATCTGAAAACAGCCGGCTGCTTTTCCCAAGTTAATAAATATCCCAGGGTTGAAGTTGGTGAAGGTTGAATGTGTGCATGGCCATCAGAGGAGGCCAATAGATTCCACTGGTCTGATTTAAATGTCTATCACAGGGTGTTGGCACCAGCGCCCTGCATTCTGGCTCCTGGGTGGTCATGCACCATTCACACAGTTTACCTTACACCTCACTTTTGCCGTTGTGTCACTATGAGTGATCGCCACTTATCCTCAGTCTTATGGGGCGTTTCCAGCCCAAACATACAATACTGCCTGCACGAGCTCATTTCTACTGCAGCAGAAGAAACAAAAACTCTGCCTGTTGTTGATTTGTAGAACCCTGAGTGATTTCTCTGCTTTAAAAGTATACTTTTTGTTTTGCCCCTGACAAAACTTATCTAGTGTTGAAGGTGTAGGCGTCAGGGGCCATTTTAAATAAAGGAATTATTATTTTTACAATGTTCCTGCTGAGTGCATAAGTTACGGTATACCTTTTTGGTTCTGGCAAAATGTTGTTTCATTATATTCTAGAGTTTCCGAGAAACACCGTAAGCATACAGATTTAACTTTGTTTGAGCAGTTTATTTGGAGCTAAATAATACATCGAGGATGTTTGCTAATAATATTCGATGATATAGAGAAGGGCAAGTTCCAAGAGTATTCACATGGAGCAGTATTCAGCAGAAAGACGTTTCTATGGCCAAGATTCTGAGAGAATGGATTCGGCATCACTTCAAGCAGCCAATTATCATCAGCAATCTATTGTTTCATTTAAGAACTGCAGGATTTAGAGCACTTTGAGACAACCTTGGAGAGGTGTTATTCATCAGTAGAAGACATTATTTTGGATGAGAAGCAGGAGTTGAAGGCATATTCTCGTGTTTTACTTTGCTTATCACATTCTTACTTCAGTGTTAGTTTAAATTGGCATATATAGTGACAGGAGATCTGAACATATCGGGTTGGGTTGGAATTAATTATCGTTTGAAGTGTTTGTTCAAGCTGATTATACTATAAGCGTATCATGTGGAATTCAACAATCA